TACTCCATTCTGGTGGTGGGATTTATGTCTTTTTCCTTGAATGGCATCCATTATTGTTTTCCTTTTCACTCCACTGACTGCTCTTTAACACGCACACACATACATATGAGATTCGGGAAAAAACTTGCTTACTGTTGCTCTACTTTCTAGGCCCACGGAGATATCATAACTCCAGTGATTATCAGGTATGCAGCCCTTAGTGGTCCTGGCATTGAGCATGTTATACATATAAATAAATGCCATAAACTTGTTACTTAATAATCTTATATATTGCACATTTCAAAGATAACATCCGCCATTTATTTTGAAGAACTATGCTCTTAACTATACTTGCTGATTGTATGCTCTCACTCTTTTGGCGAATTGTCCAGGTCTTTTGGCAAGACAATATTGATCCTGACAATATGACTTATGAGGTTAGAATGTGAATTTCTACATTTTCTTGCTACAAGTTAGGCTGTTTTCAAATTTGCAATTTGGCACTTAATGTATTTAATCTCAAGTCTGGCATAAGAATATCAGAATTTTTATAAACAAGACAAAGAACTAAGTTCCTAAATTTGTAAATGTAAAAAATTCTTTTAAGGTAAATATAAAAAAGACTACGGTTGGCTACTGAAGAAAATTGAGATGAAAAATATTCTGCTTCTCATTTCTTGATGAATGATTTATACATATATATACAAATCTGCTATTTCTAACAACCTAATAAATTCTGGAGAAATGCTAACAAAATTCTGGTTTGAGGAGGAAATTTGTTGGTGATACCCTCCATGTACAGCACATAACAGCTGTAAATAAATGTATTTAATCCTAATTTATTCTTCTAATTATTTTATTTTCTACAGCTACATTACCTCATCCTTGTTATAATTATGAAATTACCATTTTTAGGCATAAACTATAGCAAATGCAATAGGCACTTGTTGCAACTATGATCTTTACAGGCATAAACAAATAGTTAAGTTCCACAAAATTATCTAGTCTTGGGGATCCTAAGACACATTGTAGTACGAATAGTTTATAGATCTAATTTAGCCTGAGGCATAAACAAATAGTTAAGGTTCCACAAAAATTATCTAATCCCGCGGATCCCAAGACACATTGGAGTACAAATAGTTTACAGATCTAATTTAGCCTGTTGGATCTGTTATGGGCCTCTCTAATAATACTTTCAGCAAAATATGCAGGCTAACGGGGTGTGCTATTCCGATGCACTGACTTCTGAGTCAAACTTCAGACCATCCATAAAAGGCTAATAACTCCGGAGACTGTACCCCTAGTACAGTTGGTCTAGGTATCTCCTGGGAGTTACTTTCATCATCCTCTTGCTATACCCCCTTGAGATTAGAATAATCGGTATCATTTGTACAGAAGCATATGAAAGGAGACATTTGTCAAAATTTCTAGAATTGTTGAAATTTCTGAAAAATCTTCTCAAACTTTTTTTAGCTATCTGAAAGGCTGGTACTTAGATTACAAAGCTTCATCTTTAATAACTACTTTGCTGTGGGTGATCTAGTAGTTCAAATGATAGCTTATTTTTTTAAGTTCAATCATTTAAAGAATGGTTTGAAAGAAACAGAACAAATTTTATGTCAAATGAAAAATAGAAAGAAACAGAACAAATTAAATTTTGAATGAGTATGTCTTCTTGTGTTTCTGGACTCCTTTTGTTCCTGTTATTGTTAGTTTTTCTCTATTTATAGTTTCCTTATGATTCTTGTTGCATTGACTAGAGAATCAGTTAGGTTCGTTCTGGCTATTGGAGCTATGTGCTTTCCAATTCCATTCAAGGCCAGTGTTGGTTGTGCTGGCCTTTGAAGCTTGAGTGTGCAAGTTACTGCCAGTTTTCTTCCTAGAAGTAGAAGATGTTGCTAGCTCATTGTCTATTATCAACAACGTTAATTTCCTTTTGATTTAGTATTTTTGGATTAATTTACTCACTAAATTTATCATACTTTGTCAGGAACTACTTGAGCTGGGGGAGACGGTTGGAACTCAAAGTAGAGGGCTCTCCCAAGAACTTATTTCTATGCTTCCAGTTTCGAAATACAAGTGTGGCATCTTCTCAAGAAAGAAGTCAAGAAAAGAGAGGTACATTTGAACCTTTTTGGCTTTTCTCTCAACATTTACTTTTTCAAAAATATCTTTGCTTTTTTTGCTTCTCCCTTTTCAGAATTTTTTTTTTTTATCGTAATTCTTAAATTATTTGGATTTTGTATGGGCATGCCCCTTTTTTTAAAGGGCATATTTTTTCCTTTTCCTTCACTACAAAAGATTTTGTTCTTTAGGATGTTGAGACTGATGGAAAAATGTGCAGGTCATGGAGGAACTACTATGATTATTAGAACATTATTCTACAATAATGCTGCATGTGTAAAAAATTTTACAAAATCTCATATAAATTGCACTTGTCACTGACATGAATATATTATTAGTTTGACTCATTTATTTAATTTTGAAAGGATGGTCATAGAATGATTATTATTGTAACCTAGGTCACCAACTTTGACAAGTCTTGTTACGAACCATTCTGTTAAAAATATTAGTAAGTTTATAATTTATAAGTTGAATAACTTAGATGGTATTACGGGAAGAGGCAAACATGAATAAATTTGGTTGGCTGCATTTTTCTTCTAGTGGATGGCATAAAGCATACATCTTGTAGGGTTGTTATATGGGTGCAGGTGTATTTTGTGTAGTCTTTATAAGGGGTATTTGGGGCTTATAAACCACACAAGCAGATGAAGATATTCTTGCTTCAATCTGTTAAGCCTTGAGGCGTGCAAGATTTACTCAATGTTTTTGCACACTAGAACTGAGTTTGCCAATTAAATAAGTTGCCATTCAAGCTCAAAATAAGATGTTGAACAGAGTAGAGTATGAATTGGCAACTTTAACGTTTCATTTTCCGCTCTTCTTTCACTATTGCCTTCTGGTATCAGGACTGTCAGGCCTAGAACTTGCTAGTTATTGGCCTTTTGGCCATTCACCTGCTAGAATATTCAAGAATATCTATGTATAACTGCATAATCTGTGCTTGTATACAGATTAAAAAAATTAAATTTGGAGCTTTACCATATCCGTTTTTCCTTTTAGTTTCAAAATTTACGGGCCAACATCTTAGGGTAGAGGTTGAGCTTGCACCTCTTTCGTTAGCAATTCTATTTCTATTTTCACAGACCTTCTCCTATTCTTCCCTGCTTGATCTGCATTTGCTTTTTGATGACACAATAGATGTGTGATTTGCCAAATGGAATATAAAAGAGGAGACAAACAGATCACTCTACCATGCAAACATATCTACCATGCTAGTTGCGGGACCAAATGGCTGAGCATCAACAAGGTAAACATTGAGTTTCTTAAATAAAATTATAACTCTAATTTCTGATTTGCTCACTCCAAATGGAGTTACTGACTGCAATTTTGTTTTCTCAGGCTTGCCCAATATGTTACACCGAGGTGTTTTGTGATGCATCCAAACTTTAGGGAATAGTCTCAACTGATGAACATAGACACGATAACCATTTATGTTTCTCTTTTAGATCATGGAGTTCTGGTTTTTTGTTTTTTGTTTTTTTTTGAGAAAGAAAACTTGTATCTTTCCTTTATACGAAGATGTGTTTGATTCTTCAAGTTCTTTTAGCAGAATGGTAGATTAGGTTTTGTAATAAGTGAAGGGGTTTGTTTGAATTTCATATAGGAGATCAATGTGCTGTGATGTAAGAGAATGGAAGTTGAAGACTGTATAGTTTTTTTTTTTTCTTTCTTTTTTACTCCTTACCTTGAAGTTCTTCTGATCCTCCCATGTTGTTCTTGGTTTAAGGGATACTCCATTATTTGGACCCTGTAGTTGAAAGTCCTAAGATAGTCAAAAAGTCTTTGGAGTTTCGCAAGCAATATAGTATTCTCGTTTGCTTCCTGAATTTCACTCTGAAGATTGACAATTGGCATGGGAAAATATTACCGTGAATTAAAAAGTGAAAATTGTTGTCACAGAAAAGTGAAAATTATAAGTTAAAATAATAATTTGGTCTTTATATTATTTCTTTTTCTTCAAATTAGTCTGTCTAAATTGTTGATTAAATTTATTTAAAAAATTGTCAAATTTGTACTTTTTTCCCAGTCAACTGTTATTGCCATTAAAGTGGATGTTACGCATTAAATTTAATAACACGTAACTTCAGTTTAATGTCAATTAAATAATATATATAGTATCTAACTTAATACTTCAGAAAAATCAGATGTGAATAACTTCAGATTAGTTCACAAATTTTTTCTTGTTTTAGAAAACCATTAACTAGTTTAAGAAAAACATTAACTGGTTAGCCCAAAATTGTCGAGCAACCCTCTTTGTAAGTGCACACTCTACAACAAGGTGTTTCCTTCCTATCAAGCCTTGGTTGGTCATAAGGCAGTCACCGCAACAAACCCAGTTCTGCTGACTTTGTTGCCACCATCGCCTTTGAGGCCCCCTCACTCATCATTTCTTCTACCAACTTGGCCACGAGTGTTTGATATGACGCATGGCTTTTTTTCCAACCGAATAGGCTCTCAGAGGCCACAAGATATGTCACTATGAAGGCGTATCGACTGCAGAAGCTGGAGCAGTCAGATTGTTTTGGAGTCGTAGAGTCATTAGGGCTTCGGCCTCAACTTGTCATCATTTCCAAAATTTGTTTCAGCAGACCGGGAGGCGGAGAGCCTTCTCCCTGTGAAGAAGCCACATTTGTTGTTGAAAAGGAGAAAAAATGGATATTGATGAGAGAAGAGATGGGAGGAGTTTGGGAGGAGGAGGAGGAGGAAGAAGAAGAATAATGTGGGAACACATTTTGGGGATTTAGAGAAATTAATTTATTTTTATTTTTATTTAGATCGATTCAAATAAATTTAAATTAAAAAATATTTTAACGTGATATTTAACACGATATTTAATTAATATTTGAACTAATAAAATTAACACGTGACATCATAAGTTAATAATATCAATTTATGTTAATGAAAGATATTAAATTAAATTTTTTTTAAAAAAATATAAAAATTATTTTAACTTAAAAATAAAAAACAGATTAATTTAAATAAAAATAATAATAAAAGGATCAAATAATTATTTTACCTAAAAATTATATCGTGTTCTATAGTGCATGGAATAAAAGTTAATTTCAACAAACCTACATTATGGCCAAGGAAAGAGGATTATAAGTAATGATTCTCATGAGGCCACCTGTTGCCATGGCCTATCATATTGCTAGGAAAGAACTCCCAATGGTAATTCGAGAGATAAAAGTAGGTGTATCACTGACACACACATGTACATACATATACAAAGAGGCCAGAAACTCACTATTTAAGGCTCAAAAAAAATAGATGCTTCCAAAATAACAATAAAAAAGTATAAGTACTATATTAGAATATATATGTATGTATTTGATTTATATATTTTGAAAACATAATTACAGGCATGAACTTTTGATCTTTATTAGCCTCCGAATAAGTTCCAAAAGACAATCTATTAGTACGTAAAAGGGGGGAGAAGTGCCAATCCATGATCATGGATCAAGGTGGAAAAATTGCACCAACTACCCATGAATTAAGTCATATATGGTTTTTAATTTTATTACTTTTCACAATTTACAGTTTTTCTTAAGATAAGTTTTTACAACTAGCTCAACATGAAATGAAAATTTAAGTACAATCAACAAAAAGATAAAAAAACTAATAATGACACGAGCGAAATATATAGTAAAATAGATAATATGAAAAATATAAATCGAGGTAAGTACACTTAATATTAGTCTTCAAAATGATAAAAATTACCAGTTTCGTTGCTTTGATCAAATTCATGAGTGAATGTAGTATATAACTAGAACATATTTATGAATTAACAAACTAATGTTTTTATCTATTATTGAGGAAGAAACTAATCAATCAAAAACTTGATATTAATTCCGCACAAGCTTTACTTGTCTTCTCCAATGTTTCCCAAAGTAAACTTATTTTTGTCATAAATCAGAATAAATTTAGAAGTAGTGATCATGAGCGTGTTTATTAATAGCCTTTAGAAGGTGGGGGTGACTTATAGAGGTATTGAGGGTCCTTAACATGCTTCGGAGTTGGTGGAGATTGATCATTACGTTTTGACGGAGGAGGTGGAGACTTATAGATATAAGGGGGTGATGGTGATGGTGATGGAGGAGGTGGAGACTTATAGATGTATGGAGGAGGTGGTGAGGGTGATGGAGGTGGTGGAGACTTATATAAGGAGGAGGTGGTGATGGTGATGGTGGTGGAGGTGATTGATAAACATATGGTGGAGGAGGTGAAGGAAAGGGTGGTGGTGGAGACTTATACATGTAAGGCGGTGGTGGGGATGGAGATGGTGGAGGAGGAGACGTATAGACATAAGGTGGAGATGGTGATGGTGAAGGAGGCGATGGTGACTTTATAAACATATGGA